AAGGACATGATGAGAGCTAAAGGTCACCGACCTTTTCTGAGGAGCCATTTCATATTTTCCTCTCCTTCAGTCACTCCCTTTGCACATGATCCTGTTTCTCTTTTGGGGCTAAGTGTTGCACAGGGAAACAGAGGCCAGACTATCACTAGATTGAACATTGTTCATGGAAGTGGAGAGCAAGGAAGACTCTCCTCTTGCTAATTCAGAAAATTTCTATATATCACTACACAGGCAAATTACCCTAAATGGGGTAAGAAGGACTGTAACAGAAGCAAGGTCACATCTCCATTCCTTGACTGGTGCTATAAAATGGCTGATGGTGCAAAATCGAGGAGGAATTTTGGCAATGTACTGCATAAATTGCACATTCCTCCATGCCTCTAGGATCATGGACGTTACTCCCAAGAAGCAATGCAGCTATATGCTATCTCTGAGCAGAATTATATTTACAGGACCAAAGGTAACATGAAAAGATGTTTCCCATAGAGTTAACTATTAAAAAAACACCCCACTTAAGTACTTACAGTGAATGTTTTTTCACCATGCCTTTGAAATGAATATTCCAAATATTAAATATGAAATCAAGCCAAATGCTATTGCCAATTGTTAAACTTGTCACATATATCTGTGATTCCACATAAAGCAGTAGCAAGCAACTAAGCATCTTAAAGCATAGCCTGAACAATGAAAAGCAGGCTAAAAAAGAGATACACGGAAGTCTTAAAGGAAAACCAGGTGCTTTTTATAAGATTTTGACACATACTTGCAAAACAGACAAGCTGCAAAATTATCTGCATAATTATACAAGGTACCTTTCTACATATTATCCATATTCTCATTGAGCATGCACGCCATGGTGATGCAATGTTCCTGAGGTCAGGATGACAATGATGTATTTTGCATCTAGTTTTTTTACAGATCACATCACACCATGTTCATCTTCTATTTGATATCAACACTGCATAAAACCTTCTTCAGAGTGCACCCCTCTATGCAAATTCCAGCTTGCCACAGGTGCCACTTGCTAAATTAGACGATTTTTTTTAAAGAGCACAAAAAGAATTTTAAAAAGCACAGAAGCATCTTCCCTCCCTGGTTATCCTATATTGCACTACTATGGAGCAATTGTTCAGCAGAGATAAGTTATAATGAATTATGTCTTTTTGGATAGCAAAATGTTCTCATGCTTTCAAGAAAGCTTTTCCAGAAGGTATCAAAACAACGCTTTCCCATTTCTAATTTGAGGCAATACCCTCTAATGTAATTCAAATAACAGGCCATAAAAAAGAAGTAAGAAAAGGAAGGAAATTGTCTTTAGAAGTAGTCTTAGACAATTGTAATTCCAATTTGCCACTGCTGCTGGATTCTGACATACAATATCAAGAGCACTATCAAGCAGCAAGGAGGAATCTAATGTGTTTGCCTTACAAATTGAAATAGGCTTTTTGCTTCTGACAATAATGGAGAAATCTGCCTATCTTTTGGAATAGAAATAGAAATTGCACCATTATTTATATGACCTGAAATTTACCTTTTTACCTCTCTCAAGAAGATATAGACAAATTCTGTTCATTTATACACTTAAGTAACCCCTTTTGAAACTACGTTGGCATTATGTAGATTACATGAGCAAAGTCTTGTCAGAAGACTACCTAGTGTTCACTGCTATGTTGTGGTCTTGGCTAGATCAACACACATGAAAACTGTATCCGTAGGAGGCTGTAAAGACAGACAATTCTTAAAGGGATGAACAGCTTTGCAAAACGCTGCGTTCTTCTTAAATGAAGTTGGGAAGAATCTTGTTAATTCAACTATGGTCAAGGTAATTGCAGACCCACCATCGTGACGCCTTCACAACACAACATTCCTATACCAAAGAAATTCTGAGATAACAACATTCTGCAGGGTTACAATTTGACCACGAGGTGGGAGCATTGCTCATCACACGTTCCCAGGGCACATTAGGGTTTCTGTATGTACTAAGCGTTCAAGACACAAATATCTCGTGTATTTCTCTTCTCTGCTATAACCTGCAAACGTTCACGCTAGCAGTAGAATAATATTTCCAGAACAAACAGAAAGAAGAACCTTTTAATTGCTAGCTGAAAAAGAATATGTGAATAAACTGGATTTTGGTCCCTGGAACAAAGAGTTGCACTGAAAACTTTGTATTAATGTTGCAGAATCTTTTCCCAGTAGAAAAAATAAAGAGGTGGCAGAAATTATCTGTGCAAGTGGTAATGGAGATGAATAATTTTCTCATTTGTTGTCAATGTTGTGAGCACAAACAATTGCAAAAAGCAAGTTTGTGAATGTAGATAAAAATTATTTCCATGTGACTGCTTGGAAAATGACAATTTTCCAAAGTGTTGAAAAGTGACTGCTTCGCATGGGAAAAATTAGGTTTTCCAAAATGGTTTATCCATTGTGTTCTATCCCACAGGAAACATTTCATGAGCTGCTTGTGCTGGTGATGTCTCTGACAGGGCTGTCTTCATGTGGAAATGGCAGCCCCATAACTCTTATCTTAAAACTAAAAAAAGGGCAGTACTGAGTAACAAGCAGTATCTCCTACAGAAAAAAAGGCAATAATATAAAGATTAGATTAACATGAGAAGGACACTAACCTATGTTTAAGAGACTCGCACAGGATTTTGAAGCAGCTAAGACCAAAACCTAAGGCATCACTACACCTTACATAGCCATCCTCAAGCTAGCTTTAAAGTAGCTGACTTCGGTACAGATAGAGTTGGTTGTATGAAACTCTGGCTAAATGCATATGCAGTCCTTGCTGTCTCTATGAGCCTGATCCCTGTTTCTAGAGGCATGTGACTACAGTGTAGACATGCAGCTTCAACATCTTCAGGTTAACATGGGATAGTTATTCTATTTGTCCTCAGCCACTTAGTTCCCCATGTAGAAGGATAAATGTATTAGAAACATTTTGGCATATATGTATTCCAATAACAAAATATTACAATAACGTCCTTTGTATATCCTTAAAAACCAATGTGGACACAGATGCTGCGACGATTTATGCACCGTATATTTTATGGCTTTCTTCTCTGGGTGCAGGATGCCTGCATAGTAGCACAGGGCAGCAGACTGATCTTATTTGGGTGCAGGGCTCTACCTGATGCTAATGGGTAGCAGTAAGAAATCTGAAGCCTTCATGATAAATCTACACAAATGGGCACCAGTTTAATACACCCCAGCTACAGACTGAACAGAGGCTATAAAACCCAAGGACCCCTGACCCTCCAAAAACTCCAGACTGAGTTTCACCCACCAGCAAACTACATGTGGTAAGTGTGTTATAGCTGCAACCTCAATCTTTCTGACTCCCCAGCTTTATTTTTTTTCCAGCATGTGAAACACCATATACTGGCACGTGCGAAAGCATATGTTGGGGTAAACATTTCAGTAGTCTGCAAACAGCTATGTATTATCCACAGATAATGCTCCCTTCTCCACATCTGTCACATGGCAGCTAAGGAGATTTTCTCTGGAGTGAGTTATGGACAGAACAGGTTGTGTAGTATTTGTCAAAAAAGATTGCCAATTGACAATTTTTCTCCTGGTTTCTATCAATGAGATTATCAGCTATAATCAGTCTGAATGAAAAACATTTGGCCTACAAATGGTCCTTGCATGGCTACAGTTGCTTCTTCACTGTAATAAATTGGTCCCATGGTATTGGTCTTTAAGGGGATGAGCATAATGTTTTTTTACAGGAGAACAGACATTAAATAACTAACACTATGCAAGGACTAGCAACTTGCAAGGAACTAAATTCACATCCTCACTCTTCAAGTTAGCATCGAAACATTCACTTCTTGGTCCTCCAGCCCATGTGAATAGGTGCCCTTAATCTTTCTGAGACCTTGAGAGTGCAGGTCTTCAAATGCAACCTGGTCCTCAAAGCTAGGGAATCCTGGGTCTGCTTTCTTGGTTGGGCTGCTGCTCCCAAGTGCTTCTAAAGAAGTCCCAGTCTTTCTGCATCCACCTGGTCCAGCCATGGATGCAGCCTTCCAGCACAGCTGCTCCTCAGCCATCACCCACCGCAGTGGGCAGAGTAGCCATTCTGGCCATTAATTCTTCTGAGGTCTGGATAGTTACATACAGCACAGTACATGTTCATGAACATCTGAAGTGTCACATGTTATTTGAGTATTTGTGCTTAATATCTGCATGACCACAAGAAAGAGTTATGAATGGTACTTGTTCAAGGCTGTTTTCCTGACTGACACTTAACTCAAAAGCACGTAAATAATATGATCTCTTAACAAAATAATTGAATTTTCCTAAACAATTGTTGCTATGGAGCCTTTTTTTAAAAAAAGACATATCTATGTGTCTGAAATTAACACATGCTTCTAGATTAATTTTTCTACCTTTTTACTTGAGGTATCACATTTTCTTCTTATTTATCACTTTGCTAAAGCAAAAGGAATTTTAAGTAATTTCTTAAAAGGAAGAATAAGAGAAAACGTAGTACATAGCTGAGGAGGTGCAAAACAATAAACATGCCATAGACTCTACAGCTGTTTTTCCACTTAGCTCAGGCTACTAAAATGTCTGTGGACCTCTACACTAGGCTCAAGTTTTTTCTTAGCTCTATTTGTTTGCATCTCCCATGAAGCCTGTCCTACCAGAGAGCAGAAGAGGGCCCAAAGAAAGTCAGAAGGATAGAAACTCACAGATCCACATTTCCTAGTAAGCTACTTTTATAACCCAGGATTTTCCTTGCAGGCACTGCACAAAAATTGATGGATAAGGCTTACCAGCAGAACAACCAAGTGGTGTTAGGCATCACGTGAAAGGGATGATTTTCCCCCGGCATGCCCCAATGGCTTTTGTTGAGCCTAATGACTGTTTCTGTTAAGTCTGGTTTTGGTTACCACACAATTTTTTGGTTTTTGAATAAACTGCGGACATTTAGGAAACAATAGATTGCATACAAAAATGGGTGACAAAATAGAATAAAATGCTGTTCTTACCATCTGTTTTCTTTGATTCATCCCCCACACTAGACTGATCTTTTTTGTCCAACTTATTGTCTTCCTTTAACTCACCTAGAAAGAAGCAATAAGAAACACTATCAGCATTTTAATGCAGGCTGCAGTTTATTAATGCCTGTAACTCAAATTGCAACATCCAAAGGAGATTTTCCTTATGAGAAAGGGTCTGAATTCACAAGAAACTGGATTAACATGTTTTCATAAAATAAAGCACCAAGCAAAATTTATCCAACTCCTAAAGAAAATCAAGCTTTACAATCTACTTTTAAAATGTAGTCTAATTGTTATCACCTTTTTAAATGCACATGCAAACTCATACTCCCTCTAGTTGTATGCAGGCCATTAAAAATCTGAGCACAACCTTCATTTCAAAATAGGACTCTGAAACATCGACACTTTTAAACAACTGAGTCTGCAAGACTTCATCATAAGTCTGCATTTAAGAACCATCTTGGATATCCCCAAACAGTCCTATATAATTTTGTCTTACTTTCTCTTACCAGTTTCCTTTATCCACAGATTCATTTGAGTTGGTTCTTAGATAACGGTATCAGAGAATAAACAATCATCCTAGCATTGATCACTGGCTTGAGAATCTCTGTAGCAAATCAGGAAAGCAAGGTGTTTGGCAGAGCAATGCTTGATGCAGAATGAAAATGGCAACTTGAGCTGGGGTGTATTTTATGAGACCAGGAAGGTTAAATAGAGTCATTCTTATTTTCTGTCCTTTATTAGTCATACAGAGCACATCAGGCCTTTCCAGACCATCCCTTCACTGAATGAGAATGTCAAATGAAAGAAAAAATGAAAAATAACTTATAGGGAGAGCTCTAGCAGAACAGAGCTGTTTCAGCCACAAAGGAGTCCTTGCTTCAGATGTCCTTACCCCCCAGAGAAGGAGCAGTGAATCTGTGACCCACACCTCAACATAAAAAGCTGTCAAAGTCTCACTTCAGAATTTTGTAAATGTGAAGTTTGTTACAGGGCCTGTATTAACATAATGCTTGTTCCATTTGTATTACTATTTTTGTTACTATAACAACTTCACAGCCTCTGGATCAAGATTATAGGTATTGCATGTTAAAGAGGATCTGATCTGCCTTCAAAATAGTCATGGCCAGTGGATACTTATTTTTGAAACAGCTCAAAAAAAGAAAAATTGTCGAGAATCAAACTCTCCCTCTTCTACATCATACCCTAACCACTAGAATATTTGTTATTCTTGGATGACAGAGGATTGATCTCTCTGTTCAATTAAGTTTTATCATAGCATAAAAGAGGAATTATTTTCAAATCTGAATATATTCAACAAGATGGAAAAAACATGTCATTTTCAGTTCTCATTCAGAGCCAAAACTTTTCATGTTTTTCTTCCAAAGCTCACTGTGTGAGTAAGAAAAAAATAAAAGCAAGATGATACAGGACAAGCAGGAACCTCCTCAGCTGATCTCACTGCCACTGACATGGGCTCCTTGACCAGAGAGGTACAAGCAGCTCCAAGCAGGGTTGACATGTCTGCTTGACAAAGGTGGCCTCTAAAAGAAAGACACTGTCATCAGGAAATGAAATGAAATTGTACCTGGCAAAGCACAAAAGTCTTCTCACATTACCTCCACTATCATAGGGCTGATGGTAATGATGAGCTAATAATGCCTTATTTGACCACCGCATAAAGAAGTTGCTTGACCCTAAATGTGTGCAGGAAAAGATGATGAACACCCACACATAGGTTATTTCACAGTTTGATCTCTCTGAGAAGGCACATGGACAGCGAGTGACTAAGACAGACTTCAAACTCATCTGACAACACAATTTCTGAACTTTCACTGAATATAGCTTATTATGAATAGGGGACTTTTGAGTATTGCATTATCTACCCTGCCAGGCTGCCAGGAGCAGAGCAGAATGATGATCATAATGATTTTTTTGAAAGAGATTACAAAGGCAGAGAAATAATAAGGCAAATACTTTATGATGAGATATTAACATATAGGCGTAAAGGAAGCTGTGGTGAACTCAGAGATAGGGATGTTAAGATTTCATCAATCTCCAAAGACTCTGTACCCCATAAAGGCCTTTTCCCATAAATAAGGGAGCAGAATTTCTTTTCCTGAGGAAAACACTAATTTTCAGAAATCATTATAATTCTCTTCAAAGCATTTTTAACACCTGCAGCAGAGAGACATTGCAGAAAAAGGTACTGTCAAAATCACCAGAGCACACTTAACCCCTGTATTGTTAAAAGCATGTAAACCAAAGGATTTCAGAAGAAAAAAGGTGATGCAGCCTGACTGGGATTTCATATGTCCCCAACCTTCTTCGTCTCCTTGGGGACCCATTCCTATTCACCTGCGTAACACTGAAGAAAAATCCCAGATGTAACAGAGCACGATGACTTGGATACCCATAGTCTTTTCAATCTAAAAATCCCTAATGATGAAGAGATTGCTGGGAAAAGCCAGCAGCCAAGTCAAATACAGCAAAATCCTATCAGGAATGTTTTAAACAGAATTTCTGTCTCTGCTGCCATCTAAAAATCACTGCCCGAGCCTAGGACTTTTAATGCATGTATGCTCACTCAGGCTTTTTCTAAGAGGTTGTTTTCGAGTCTGAGGTTTTTCTCTGTTTTTGGACTGGTTGATATTAGCCAAGTTTGTGACAAGTCACATGCAGTTGTACTGCCATTTTTTGATAATGGTTTCAGGGAGCAGGAGCTGGGGTGGGAAAGACAGTGAAATGGCCAAGAGACCACTGATCTGTTCTCATGGGCCTAGTATCTTTTTTTTATATTTAATGCAATTTTCAAACATTTTTCCACCTTTTTTGGGTGCAAAATTTGATTCTTATTTTAACTCAGTTCTACAGCAAGTTAATTTCTGACCAAAAAATATCTCCAAAAAAGGCTTGTGATTGCCCTAATAAAAATCTTGAGCAAATGAAGCATAAATAAAATAATTTTTAAAAACAGAGGTGGAAGGGGAATCCTCTATACCAAAACATATTTATATCTGACTCTCAGTTCAAAAATACCTTTAATTGGCCTTAAAAAGAGTTTATAAGCCAACTTCGGCTCCTCCTCTGTCAGTTACCCAAGCAATGAAGCTGTTCATTGAACCACAAATAATTGTTCGAGCTTTTAAGTGTCTAACATAATAGGCTGCTGCACTTCAATGAGAAAAGTAATTTTTTGCTTTCCTCCAAAAGTGCCCAAGCAGGTATGATGAACCTCATATTTTATGGAAGAACGCTGGTTGGGAGGGGATTTACAGATTCCAGTTCCTATGCGCAGGTGACTACGCCAATGTTCAAGAAGAGGCTCTGGGCCCAGGACATCTTTTTTCAAGACAGCAAGTGCTCCTACCACTGAGGTGAGATACTGGGTTTAGGGCTGGATTTGCATTTCAGTGGAAGGAGAGAACTCACCATTCTGAACATGCTGTTTCTCCTCTCCCACTGCATGATGTGAGTCAGTTCCCTTATTTGTCCTAAGTGCATTCTTCCCTTGAGAGGCTTCATGTTTGGTCACCCCAGTTTGTTGAGTCCCATTTACATGGTTCTTATTGGAATCTGCACTTTTGTTTTCCCCAGGATTTGGTTCTTTGCTGTTCTCTGTCTTTGCCATTGTGGCATCTTCAGCTGGTTTATTCTCATCCTTTTCATCTGTTTTCTTTTCATCTGTTCCCTGATGAGTATTTTCCTCTGCTTCTTTCTTAGCTTTTTCTTCTGCATCCTCAGCAAAGAGAGAGGTAAAACAAGGAAAGAAATCATGATTATCAGTCAATTGACAAGAATGCTACAACTCAAAAATCTAAATCTACTTCATCTTTTTACATGCAAACAGCTTTTACTTAGATAAATGTAGGAATTGACTTGACAAGGGAAAAAGAGCACAGAAGAACATTTAAGAAAGTATTCTGAAAAAAAAACTCAAAACAAACAAACTAGCACGTTGGCTTAAATGTGTATTATGTACATTTTTTTTTTATTAAATAAGGTTCACCTTTGAAAATGCAGTTCCTCAAAATTCTTAAAAGGTAAATTAAAGTGATATATTAGCTACTGAAGGCTCTGAAATTGCCAGGGTTAGTTTCATTTTTGACACACAACAATCAGTCAAACGACATTCCATTTATCTCATATCTTACCAGGTAACTCTAAGCACATATATATGCTTATATTCTTTGATATCTACTTTTCTCCCCTCTTGTTCCAGGTTGCTTTAAATGCCAGCCTCCTAAACCCTTCTCTTCCACTTACTGATATCCTTTCTTTGTGGCTCTGTCCCTTCTTGGCAGACTAATATATTGCTACTACTACTTGGCTTTCCATACAAAAACATCTTACAATCAATCATAAAAATGCAAAGGTATGAATTAAAAAGTGAGTGTTGAACAACACCAGCATCTCAAAATATTAACATTCAGGAATAAAAAAAAACCACAGTCACAGAAAAGACAATTTCCCTCATTCAAGATACCGCTCTTGCTCTTATCTAAATCTTGGGTCCTGATGCAACACTTAACTAACAACATAGGTTGTAAATTACTTGGGCTCCAGATGTTTGTAGGCCAGGTTGGGTACAGCACACCCCCCCAGATTCAGCTGCAAAGGCTCTGTGTGGCACTAGAAAGCAGGACACAACCACAGTCCCTCAGCACTGTTCTCGAGCTAATAAATCCAGCTGGGTGTGCACAGTCTCTGGGCAGAGACTCCATAATCGTCTTCCCCTTTTCCATGATCAATAGAGAATTAATCTGCAAATGCAGCTGAGTAGCTCAACACACACGTTGGAAACTGTAATCTTACACAGCTTCAGAAAATATCTATATCTACTAAACTAAGTTTAAGCATTCAGATACAACTGCTCTATGAACCACAGGAGAGATACAGCTCAGGAGACTGGGACTTGCTACAGCACCATTGGACGAGTGCCTCTTGTTGAAATTAGTGTAAGAAAAGACTTTATCCAAATTATGCTTTGCACATCAGGGTGTTTGTTTATTCTGTTGTTTGTTTTTTTAAAATTTGTAGCTATTTAATGATGATCCTTTAAGTAAAAAGAGATCTGTAATAAGCCCACTTACTTTGCCCACACAGTCCAAGAAATTTTCTATAAACACCACACTTGGGATAAAAACAGCTCACTGATGCTTCTAGGGACAATGCCATTACCAAAAGGGATACAGTACTGTGCAAATAATGTAACAATAATAATAATAATAATAACAACAACAACAATAATGATAATGATAATAATAGCAGCAGCAGCGGTGTTTCCTTCCCTTCTGATCCCCAGTTGTTGTCAATCAACAGTTAAATACTTTATCTGTCTTCTCTTAATAATTCTTATTTTTATTGGCAGAGCATCTTGATGCATTGCAAGACACTACTTTGACAGGGGTCATCAATTTAAACTCCTGCTATGCAGCACGCCCTACTGCATATGGCAAAGATAGGCAAGGCAAGATGGAGGGGGGAGCAGAGTCTTGCTGCAAGTCAGGAGCAAGACAGCAGCTGAGCAAAGGTTTTGATGTGAGGGCCCTGGAGTCAAAAACAGTTCCTTAGTCCCCAGCTCATGCAAAGGTATGCTGAGCCATATATTTTGTATAAAATCTTCAGAATAAAAAAATATGCATGCTTGTACTGCTAAATGCACCCAGAAACACAGAAATTATGTGAAATTCAATGAATTACAATGAACAGAAGCTGAGACTGCTTTCTGAATCTTTGACCCATAAACTGAGGCCCTGATCAAAGTTCTCGGCAACGAAGTTTGGCAAAAACATAAACTAAATCAACTATTCAGGGCTAAAGGTTGTCAGAAAGGTAAAGATAAAGTGACCTACTCAAGACCTCCCACATCTAATAATGTAGACTAGTGAGCTCTCTGCTTTCAAGTGATCAACTAATTCTTCCATAGACTACCCTCAGGAGCTGCTAGAAGGACTTTTTTAATGAGGCAAATAAAAATAAAACATTTTCCTCTCCAGCTAGAGTATTAATAACCAAACACTTATCATACTCTAAAGAATGCATATGAAATTATTAAATACTGTATCGATACATATTACCAGTAGCAGCATTAACTAATAACTAAGCAATGTGTGCACAGCCACTTGAATCATAACTTGACACTCACATGTGCATATTTAGCAAAAAAGTCTTTATGCAAAGCAGTCACAAGTGGGTACTAAGCACATTTAAAAGCTAAAATATCCAGAATCTGTTATGATCTACTCTATGTATTTGTTTTAGGTGAAATGTAAGACAGATTTTATTTATTTCCCCACAGGTCTCTCTTGTAGGATTTTTATCTAGTAGATCCTTAGTAGACCAACAAATATGTATGGTACATGTTGAAATGAAATTCCTAACACTTGTTACATGTATTGGCTTCATTCACTGAACACTCCTATAGTGTGAGACACTGACTATGTTGAATGCTTTGCTTGTTTGGTTAACTTTAATTTGTTTGGTACACAAAGAACCATGAAATAGTAAACACTAAAAAAAAAAAGCTAAAAAAAGCCCCTGGAAAATAAGCAGATTTTGAATTATGTTTTTGTTTTCATTTTCATGGAAAGGCTTTTCCTGAATGGCAAGTTTTAATCAAAAGGAAAATTTAATTTGAGCAACAATGTGTGCTTTCCTGCACCTTTAGACAGGCCTTTCAGTTGGAGAGGAACAATCTGCTCTGGCAAATAGAACTACGCCAAATCTTCCATCAGCCCTGAAGCCAAAGCCACACAATACATTAAAATCAAAGTCCTTCCATTTACATGAAATACAACTCCATTAAATAAGGGTTTGAGCAACAAGCTTTCAGCTCAGAGAAGAAATGGTGCTACAAGCAGTTTCACAAAGAAAAAGAAATAAATCAGTGATACATTCCTCCTTTTTCAGTTCCAAAGTTGTTCTACATTACCCAAAGGCTCTAGGAAGCCTTGGACAATCATCCAGCCCTGGAGGCAAGGGGAAGTTATACCTAAATTAATCTCAACAGATGGCTCTCATTAGTTCCAAAAGATCTCCAACAATAGAGATCTGCCAATGTCTAACTTATTATCAGTTTATAATTACCGGACAATTTCTTCTCCTCTTAACAGCCCAGGATATTTGAATAACAAATTAGTTCCCTTATTTTGCAGCTGAAGTAGTCTTCAGAAAACTGCTTTCAGCTATAGACCTTCTTAGCTATATACAACAGTTATCATAATTTGCATTGCTGTAGTCTGTATTGTAGTGCAACTGGTCCGTACAGTTTCCTGAACTGCAGCGGCCAAAACAGGACACAGCACTGCTGTTGGGACCTTGTTACTGCTGGAAAGACAGGAAGAATGTCAGAGTGGTCTTAGAAGCAAGGTCTGGTTTGTGGTTGGTTTGGGTTTGTTTTTTTGTTTGTTTGGTTCATTGGTTGTTTTTCCAGTAGCATGACAATACTGAACCCTGGTCAACTTGCAACCAAGGTAGCCCTCATAATCTGAAATATTTGCAGTCCCTCCTAGATTTATGACATAAGCATTTGCAGCATAGTTCCCAATTCATTATCCAAGAAATATGAAATGATCTGTGAATCCAGAATATCCTGTCCTTCTCCCCTGAACTATCATCCATACCTCTTTCAATCGTAACAGTGAACAACTGATAACCTATCTCTACAAATGCTGTTCCAGCTATTTTTCATTCACCCTGACTCGTGACTTTAGGTGACTTACAATTATTTTTTCCTCCCATTGTCCACATCCTCTTCATTACGTACACTTACATCACTTAATAAGAGTATAAGTCACAATATTCCTGTCTTTCTGAATTCAGTGTAGGCTACCAACCTTGAAAACCTAATTCTTTCAAATTAATAGTGCTTACTTGGAGAATAATTTGATTGAAGAAGAGCTTGAGGAAGAAGAGGTCAAAATAATTTTTATTCTTTCACTAAGAAGCCTGGCTGTTACCTTTGGTGGCTTGTGCTTTCCATTTCTCCCGGTTCTGCTGCACGACCTCGGTCCAGGTGGCTTTAAAACACTTGAAGTCCACAGTGAGTATGGAGCAATTGAGTGAGGCACTTCCTTCGGACCCAGTGCTCTTGACACTTGACCGTTTAACTTCGGAGGGACTAATACTATTCAGACTGGGACACAAGATCACAGAACACAGAAGAAATCAGTATTCCATACAACCAAATACAGCTAAGCAGCAATAATTACTGTAAGTCTAGATAGCTTAACAGAGTCAACCAGGAAAAATAAAAACTAAGCTTGAATCCCTCATCCTCCTCTCCCTCCCTGCCACCCCAGGCCAACCAATGTTAAAGCAAACAGCACAACCTGAGCCACTGTTACAAGTAAAAGGCAGTTTTTCCCTGCTTATTTCTTGGTATCCATAGTCCCTCAGAAATAGTCATTCAAAGTGTTGCCATTACCTTTGCTGTGCATCTTCACTCCCTAAATATTCACTGGAGAGACAGACAAATCTAGGAATCAAATATGTCAAAGAAGGAGCCTCCTAAAATTCACCAATGGGAGCCATTAGGCACTGGACAGAAGGCCAACCTCTGTCCAGGGCTTGGTGGCCTCGGCTGAGGCTGAAATCAGGCACTCATTTCAGTTACAGACCCTACAGTTGTCTTTCAAGGATGAATACACTTCATTGTGCAAATATTAATAAAGGCAGCAAGATAACTGACATAGAAAGGTATTAGTGCTGGCTCTTTGTGTTACAGCCCCAGAGTAAAGAAGTCACCCGGGAGAGGGAATCCTAACTTGGTAGCCCTATATAGAGCCACAAAAATGACTGAGGGAGCGGAGCATCTCCCTTGAGAAGTGGCTGAGGGAGCTGGGTCTCTTTAGCTTGGAGGAGACTGAGGGGAGACCTCATTAATGTTTATAAATTTGTAAAGGGTGAGTGTCAGGAGGAAGGAGCCAGGGTCTTCTCTGTGATGTCCAATGATAGGACAAGGGGCAATGGGTACAAGCTGGAGCATAGGAGGTTCAACCTGAGCATAAGGAAAAACTTTTTTACTGTAAGTGTGACAGAACACTGGCACAGGCTGCTCAGAGAGGCTGTAGAGTCTCCTTCTCTGGAGACATTCAAAACCCCCCTGGATGTGTTCCTGTGTGACCTAGTCTAGGTGATCCTGCCCTGGCAGGAGTGTTGGACTAGATGGACCTCCTTTGAGGTCCCTTCCAACTCCTAATATTCTGTGATTCTATGTGATTCTAGGGAGCACTGGCCTTGTGGCATTTGAATCCCAAGACAAGCCCTGATCATGAAACTACTGAAAGTGTAGTTCCTCTACAACAGCAGAGCAGGTTGATTGGGCTAGGACTCCTTACACCCAAACTCCAGGTGAATTCTGGTGGTACTTCACATATTTGCATAACCCTAAATACTGTCACTAAAGTGTGCCTATACTTCCCAGTTTTCTCTTGTATTTCAATCCCATTTATTCTTCTAGACATGAAGAAATGAATGCCTCCCAATTACTCCCTCTACCTTCTCTTTGATATTGGTGACTGACAGAGCACTGAAGTTCACCTGATTGGCTACAACTATTTGTCCTCACTGTCTTTGGAGGCATGGCTTAGGTTCATGACTCCCTCTTTGCTCTTCCCTAGGCTGGAGTTTCCCTCCAACAAAGTCACTGACTGAGGTAAGCTGTTGTGCTGGCCATGTGGATACAGGGCTTTAAGCCACAGAAGACATACACTGTAGGGGGAGGGGTGGGAAACCAGGGGAAGTGGGTGCGGTTGCAGCATGTGCAGAGTGAAGGGAGAAGGTGCATCCTTATTCACCTGGAACGCCTGAAACCGGACATGCCAGAGTGGGAAGCTTCATCGATGAGCGGAGTCACAATCTTCTCGGTCATGTCAGTCAGCACAGTAAAAGTGGGTTCCACAATGAAATCAATGAAACCTGAACAGAAAAAACAAACAAAGTCAAGCAGCCAAGAGGAGGATTTATGTGGATTCACTATTTCAGTGATCGCAGACTATCACCCTGTAAATGACAGAGTAAAAAATTTATACCCTGCAAGAGGGATAGGCAAATACTGGAAAGGGAATACAGAGTTATACATTAATCTCTGACCCAAAAGCCTGATTATAACATGCAGTAAAAGGTACCTACTCAAACACTGGAAAGAAACTGTGGCAAATCAGAACATAAACAGATGCATCAGAACTTGTTTTATATGAGTGAGATACTTAAGCCAAATTCCTAGAGGATTTGGATAAAATCCAGTTTCAAATATGAACTCTCTAAAGGCAGAAAATGAATAGAACAGCAATAATAATGGTAAGCTTTGTTGGTGTGGAGTTACATGTAAACCTCCCTTACTGCATATCAGTCAGTTGCTGTGGATATTGTCTCCTCAGCGTGTGGTAAGCTTGTTCCTGTTGATACTAAAACAGATTTAGATACTTTCCCTCCACTTTTTTAATATAAGGAAAGGAAAAAAAATAAAGGGCCAAATAATTTCTACTTCAGTACACAGTCTGGCAGAGAAGAATATAGTTCTGATCTGAATGTTGGGAAGGGCGGATTGAAGGGCCCTGTGGTCATAAGCTCATGAGAGGAAGGAAAATCCAAGTTGCATGGAAACAATGTGAAAGTGAGTAGCTTACAGAACCTTACACCTTCCCCTAAATTCATACCTGGGAAAAGGACTATTTCTTATGTGCATTTTAGCACATCACTTAGTGCTGCAAGTAGCCAAGAAAACAATGATGTCCTTAATCCCTCCTAAGGCACATCTAGATTCAGGTCTTTCCCT